GATACATTTCGTTGTACCTCACCTATATTCACTGGTCCAACTCAAACATATGCTGAAGGTAGGCAATCAATGCGAGAAAGCACAAATACCGGGCTTTTCAAACTGAAACTTAAACCGCCAAATCTTACTGTTGGGATTGGATACGGGAAGTACACTCAGTGGAGATTAGAATTAGCCATGCGGAAAGTTACAACACGTTGGGTTTCTATCACAGTGCAGAGAATAATTTGAAAGCGCTTTTGAAAAAGTCATTGATGATTGAAAAATTGAATCAAACTCCGTTTCATTCACCTATTATTGCAATAAGCAAAACGAACAAACCCACAAAGATTAATGAGGTATAAAGGACCTGGTTCATGAGAAACTCCCAGAAGCAAATGTATCGGTTTGTGTCTAGACGTTTGGAACTTATTGATCCCGTTTGACTTGATGTAGTACTTCAGAATAAAGTTTTGTACCATTCAGCCTCAGATAAATTTGTGAGAATTGCCGTAAACTTGATTGATGAATATACAGTTATTCTCTAACACAGTTTTGGTAATCTTCTGTTCTGATTTTCTACTTTAACTCACAGCTTTTAATGAGCAGTGATGTGGAATAATTTATAATTGATTTTAGCTGACCGTTTTCCAGTCCAATCTTCACTTTACTCAGTTGTTTATGTACTGGGGAAGTACTAGGATCGAATTACGTTCTTGACGGATCTCGTCAATAATGTAAATCGACCGACCCATCCAAAGTTTTAACCTCCTACAGCTTACATTGAACTTGAATGTACGACAACTGTGGCACGGCTGGAATTACCCATTTAAGTTTGTTTGATGACAGTCTTCCAGTTCAAAGCTCCTCAACCCACGTTATATTTTCGGTACTAGTATTCGGATCGATTGTCTGCGGTTCCGAAACCAATGTGAATGAATTTTCAATCAGCAAAATCAAAGATAAAAAAATGTGTGAGTGAGGAATGACAGTGAATAATCTCCAGTCGATACTAATCATAATTGATCAGACAATTTTGAGTGTATTGATCATTCGTTTGGTTCATCCTTGTTTTAACAAACACTGCTGAACAAAAAGTAGCTTTTTATAATGAAAAGATATAAATTGTCTTCTAAGGTCACTTCTGTGGAATATTTCATTCAACTACTAACCTACATATTGGTTATCCATGAATAAATAAACATTTACTCATGGACGGGATAGGTCCGGTTTGATCCCTGGTTCGAAAACATTTTGTTTTGCGTAGAGAAGCTTGTGTCTACTCTCACTCCATCACTACTGAATGTTCAACCGGAGAGTATTCTCTCATCGCTGTCTCGTTAACAACGGTATGAAAGTGAATGTGAAAATCACGAAGTGTATCCGCTAAATGAGATTGGTTGTGCCCTGGAAAACCGCATTCTGTTTTGTCTATTCCTGTCGGCGCCTTGATAAGTAGGGAGCATTTTTGGCCAATCGAACAATGGACAAGAATAACGCTGGAACGGTTTGTGCTTGGTAGTAGGGCAAGGGAGAGATTGATGCAAAATACCGAGAAGCACGGTACACTTGTCCCTTTGCTTACTGCCTTATTTCATAAGCCAAATGAATTCAACGACACAGCGGAATCAAAGATGGAGCCACACAAGTAATCGTAGATGGTAATGTTTTTTAAATGGTTTTCTATAGGTTTTTCAATTATGTGCATGTGAAAGCTTCTGCATGCACTCCAGTCTACCCCAAGCTGAGAATGCAATGGAAACATCGAGCATCACGTTGATATCCACAAGCAGGTTGAATACCTTCAAATACCCAGAGGTCAACACATAGGGTCTACAGTGTATAATTCTTTGTTGGTATACTGCGTCATTTATCCTCCCACATACGCAAATCAAGACATTTTAGAGGAAAATATTCAATCACATGTTCTTTTTGCACCGCATTTTCTCTCTCTCATGCTTTACTGATCGTCTGTGATTTTCACATGCCTATTTAGAAGGGAATTCGTTGCTCTTCGCGGCAGCTTGGTGGTTGTTAGCCGTTACTTTCTTAGTCCCCTAAACACTCTAATCACAAAACTGTTTGGTTGAATTGTTGTTCCATGTTGGAATTCCGCCTGCAAGATTCTTAATGATCCCAGTCACCTGCTCGATTCCGCCTTATCTACCTGTCGTTTCCCGATTCATTCATCACTGCTTATCTTCCCACATGAACATTTATTATGATTCCATAGTCCCTCACTTGGCAAATGCACTAACTGAGAAAAGGGTGGTTCCACACGAGCTCATCGCAAATCAGTAAAAAGAAACGTCTTTTATTAAATTTTTATCATTGTCGTACGTGACTTTTTCATCATTTTTTATCCCATGGCAATGGGAAGCACATCCTCTGACTGAAACTTAGCCATAGCTGCTTATAGAAATCATTACAGTTCGATACAATTATTGTTTTTCGGTGCAACCGAAAAGTTCACTTCATTTCGCAGTTCAAGGTCAAATCTATTTGACATAGTCTGAAGCATTACATGTTTCAAAAACCTTTCTTTGGTTTAGTTCACGGGTTGTATTTTTAGATTTGTGAAAGGCGGTAATTTGAGAGAAAAATGTGGTAGTTCATTAACAAATTTTAGTGATTTTTGATTATTTCTCAAGGGTAAGAAGCAGTGGTTGTGAAACGTAATGGGAACAGCCGAAAATGAAGCGGGGGTCGGGCGTGTTACGCATCGAATTTGAGTGATACGTATCTGGACGAGATGCTGTTAAATGTTTGATCAACCTTTATTTTCAACATCAGCCACTGTNTTCAAATAACTTCGATCTCGTTGACGTAGTTCATATTGATTCTGATCAGAGGCGGAGAGAATATACCAATCGACTGTCCAATGATTCTAGCATTGTCTTATTTTGGTTCATTCTCTGCGCACGCTTCCGGAAAAAGATTGTTTATTTGGAATTGACAACAAATCG